CACTCCAGCCTGGGCGACAGAGTGAGACTTCAACTCAAAAAAAAAAAAAAAAAGCAAGCAACTGCTGTTGTCCAGGGTGTCATCGAGAATGGAGAAAACAAGACTCACCCTTGGTGGTCGTCACCCCTGATCTAAACCTCTCCCTCTTTCCTGGGGAATCTGTGGAAAAACCAAATCTTAAACCCATGGGATTCAGAAAATTGCTCAGATGAGGCAAAGACAGTTGCCAAAGTGGTACCCAAACTGAAGCGATGCACACAAAATTATCCTGAGGCCACAGGGTGCTTGTGACACAGAGTGTCAACCCTGCTGCTGACTTTAGCAGCAGAAAACTAGCAGACTAACTGCAGGCCAGACACCTCATTCTCAAAACTGCATCGCTGCCATCCTCCTGTCACGAATTAGAAAACCAAGGCCTAGGCCTTGCCCAAGGTCACAATCTAAATGAAGAGCCCGGGGAAGGGGGTTGGGGAGACAGTCTGGCCCCAGGCTCCTGCTCCTGCTGACTTCTCCACGTACAAAGAAATCTTTATGGTCCCGATTCCTGAAAAATCCAAGACGCCAACCCTCAGCCTCGTTCTGCCGGTGAACGAACCTCGCAAGGACGCTTCATACCTTGCTCTGACAAGTCAGATCAACCGAACACCTGTCACGAGAAAAGACGAAAGCAGCCAGCCTCTCTTCAGCCAAGGGAGGCGCCTCTGTGCGATGTCCCTGCCCCTCCCGCCGGCCACAGGGGAAACGTCTCGGTCCTCCGCTGCCTTAGGGAAGACGCCCCCGCCCGCCTCCTCTAGACCTCAAGCCGTGGGAGGCGCTCAATCCTCTCCCCCTCCGCCTCCCGGGGGTACCTGCTTCCCCAAGCCGGGTGCGCAGCACGCCGGGGCCCCAAGGCCGCTTCGCCAGACGCGAGGGGCTCCTGGGTCCTACCTCGCCCTCTGCAGAGGCAACGCCCAGGCTCCCGCCCCCGGGCCAGAGCTCCCAAGCGCAGCCCCCGCCTCTCCCGATCTAGCAGTCCCGAGCGCCCAACACTCCGCCCCTTTGCAGCCAGGCAAGGCCGGGAGAACGCACCGCCCCTTCCGACCCCCACCCGGCGGCCCGAGCTCACCCGTCCAGCAGCCGCCGCCACTGCCGCCGGCCCCGCCTCTGCTGTCCGCCGCGCCCCGCCCAGCGCCTCGGCGCGCCACGATGACGCAATGCCTCCCATTGGCTGTCCCTCCAAGGCCCGGCGGATTAGCTGACTGGCACGGAGGTCCCGCCCCCGGCCCCGCCGTGCGCACGCATTGGCTGGCAGCCTGACGTCGCCCTCGCCGCGGGATATTCGCCGGAAGCCGGGATCTTGTGGGCGCGAGCCATGGAGCGGCTGCAGGATATGAGAACGCGGCTACAGGACTGGGAGCAAGCGTTTTATCGGCTGCACGGGCGGCGGCCAGGCCAGGTGCGCGCTGCCTAGGGGCCGGGAGAAAGAGGGCGCGACTTCTAGCTGACATGTTGCCTTTCACAGAACGACGTGGAAGCGACGACCGAGGAGATCCGCGGTGAGCGCGCGACCGGGGGGCGGCGGGGACGCAGAGGGGGCGGTGCGGGCTCAGGTCCCGCCCTGACCAGGACGCCTGTCTACGCACTCAGCGCTCTACCGGGAATACCGCATCTTGAAACGTGCCCTCCGCCAGGCCGGCAGCGGGTCTCGCAGCCCAGACCAATCGCTTCCCGCGACGACTGAGGAGGTACCCGGGCCCTGTCATACCGTCCTCCTGGTTTTCTGTATGGCGGAGTGACAGAGCCACGAGGAGTAGCGACCTAGACTCAGTGCTGCACAGAACTTGGAAGGAGGGCTGGGCTAAGACAAGAAGGGTTATGTCTTGCTGGGGTTTGGGGGGCGTGGCTAGGGCCCATACTGTTTTCTGCAGGAACCAGAGCCCAGCTGCTGGGGGCCCCACCTGAATCGGGCTGTGACCCAGAGTCCACAACCTGCTCCAGGGCATAGCTCTCGAGAGTCTGTGCAGGACTGCGGAAAGAGGCTCAAGGCCAATCTGAAAGGCACCCAGCAGGTGAGGGATGGGCAAGTGCATCCAAGGTAGGCCCAGAGCTGCCCTTGGCCTAGGGGCAGATTCACCTGGCTCCCTTCCTAACACCTCTTCCAAACATACATAGACAGACACAGTTTCCTGTGCTAACTAGGAGGAGAGGCTTCTGAGAGGTCTTTGGGCCTAGCTCTGCTCAGTTTTCTTTCTATCCTAGTCCTGCGCTTCTTACCCATCCCTACTGTTGAAGGTGGGGAACTGAGGCAGATTTCAGGGTCTAAAGCAGCCCAGGGGCCTGAGCCCAGGGGCTTGCTTGACGTTCTGTTCTTCCTCTCCCAGGCTAGGACAACCACGGGCCGCATACCCTGGCTTCCACGTAGACCCTCATCCAAGATGCCCACCTCAAAACCCTCAGGCACAGAAGCTGACCCCACCTCTCCAGAAGTCAGTGATGTGTCCCCCTTGTCCCCTGGGCCCCAGCCAAGGCCAGGCCGGCTCCAGAAGTTGCAGACATCCCTGAGCCTGCGACTGGGCTCACTAGACCCTGACTGGTTACAGCGATGTCATGAAGGGGTCTCAGATTTTCTGGGGGCTCCTGAAGCCTGCAGACCTGGCCTGGGCTTAGAGGAAACACAACCTCTGACCTCAGGTGAGTCGGCTGGCCTTGGCCTTGGCACTGGCTCTGAGATACTTTCACAGGGCCCAGAAGTTCCAATCCTGCAGTCAACTACTGTTGGTACAGGGAGCCTCCAGCCCAGCAACAGTCAAGGCAAGAAGCAGAGATGGAGACAGGGGTCCCAGGGGAGCTCTGCACAGGCCCAGTGGCACAGTAGCAAGGCCAGATCCCCAACTGGGTCTGTAACACTTGAGGAAGACCCTCCAGAGGAACCTGTGCAGGCAGAGCCACCTCAGCCCTGCAGCCTCCCTTCAGTCTCCAGGTACCATGGCTTTGGCCCCTCGAGTCAAGCCAAGGCAGGGAAAGCTGAGGACGTCTCCCCTAGGCTGACCAGTCACCACAAGGGTAATTACGTACGGCTCAACATGAAGCAGAAACGCTACATGCGGGGCCGAGCTCTTGGTGGCAGGCTCCTCCGCAAGCAGGTGAGACAGTGACAGGATGGGACGGGTGGTCCCCTTACTCCTTCTCTGCCTTCTACTCAGTAACCTTCCTTTGTGGGCTCCTCAGGCATGGAAGCAGAAGTGGCAGAAGAAAAGGGAATGTTTTGGGGGTGGAGGGCCCAGAGCCTCAGTCAAGGAGTCTTGTTTCCCATGTGAGCAGTTTGGTCACTGGGCATCCCAGTGTCCCCAGCCAGGTGAGACATCTGTCCTGGGGAATGAGTCAGGCCAACATTATGTGGAGAAGGCACCATGTTCTTAGTGTGGGGCATACTTGTGGCCCAAGCAAAAGGCCCTACCAACTCCTTACCCTGCCCTGGCCCAGGTCCTACTCAGGTCCCCCACAAGAGGGGAGGTGAGGATGGGGATGGCTCTCAGCCCTTTCCCACTTTAGAAGAAGTAGCCTAAAGGACAGGCACTGCCTACTGCCAACTCCCCAGGGAGAAGATTGTGGCCCATGGCTATCTTGCTAGAATGATCTCAGCCCAGTCTGGAGCTCCCACACCACTCTCTCCTGTCTTCCTCCAGCAAGTGAGGAAGACACAGAGCCTGCTGAGCCTGAGCTGCTGGTGCCTGCATCACAACGTGTGCCTGAGGTGCCCCACTTGGCTCCCACAGTGCTGCCACTCTACCCACCAGGGCCCTTGGGGCAGGTGGCAGGTGAGCAGACACCTCCTGTCCCAAAGCCTGTACTGAGGGGTTGGAATGACTCAGGTCATGGGGATCAACACCTGTGTCTGCAGAGGCACCAGCGGAGGTGTTCCAGGCCTTGGAGCAGCTGGGGTATCAAGCCTTCCGCCCTGGGCAGGAGCGTGCAGTCATGCGAATTCTGTCTGGTGAGTGTGACTGCTAGGGACTGGCCAAGGTGGGTCTGAGGCCAGACTGCAGAGCCTTACTTACTGCTGATTCCTGTCCTCCTCAGGCATCTCCACACTGCTGGTGCTGCCCACAGGCGCCGGCAAGTCCCTGTGCTACCAGCTCCCAGCGCTGCTGTATGCCCGGCGCAGCCCTTGCATCACACTGGTCATCTCTCCCCTCCTGTCACTCATGGAGGACCAGGTGTGCAGACATACCTTGGCATGTATAGATGATCAAGAACCAGTGCTTGTGACTCCCTTGGATAACTTTTTGTCCTTGAACCCAGCCCTACTCCCAGGAGCTGCAAGGTGCTCAGCTAGCCTCGGCCCCAGCCCTGGCAGCAGCCCAAGGGCAGCACAGCTCAACAGCTCATCCCCCCAAGGGAGCTTTGTTGGGAAAGGAACTATCCCCACTAGGGCCCATCTGCTCCAGGGCTTCCAGGCCAAGGCCCACAGGTGGCTCTGAATCCTTAGCCCTATGACCCAGGGCCTGGTGCTTCTTTCCCTGAAGGGCCAGAGTGAGATAGCAGCAGCTCTCAGGTTAGCAACTAGGAGGATTTGGGGAAGGGCCAGGGCCAGCCTGGGACTGCTGTTCCTCCTGCATCTGCAGGTGTCTGGCTTGCCCTCATGTCTCAAGGTGGCCTGCATCCACTCAGGCATGACCAGGAAGCAGCGGGACTCTGTCGTACAGAAGGTAGGGAGCCTCATGGGCCTGGGGAGCCAGTGGGTAGGCCTCTGAGCCATGACTCTGACCCTACTGCCTTCAGGTGCAGACTGCCCAGGTACATGTGCTGATGCTGTCGCCTGAAGCGCTGGTGGGGACAGGGGTGTGGAGCCCTGCCAACCTCCCCCAGGCTGCCCAGCTGCCTCCAGTTGCCTTTGCCTGCATAGATGAGGTCCACTGCCTCTCTCAGTGGTCCCACAATTTCCGGCCCTGCTACCTGCGTGTCTGCAAAGTGAGTCATGTGTGAACCAGCATGGGTAAGTAGGTCAGGGTCCAAGTAGACTGGGCCATCACACCACCCTTCCCTTCTGGTGCAGATGCTTAGGGAACGCATGGGCGTACGCTGCTTCCTGGGTCTCACAGCTACAGCCACTCGTAGCACTGTCCGTGTTATAGCCCAGCACCTTGGTGTAGCAGAGGAAGTTGGCATGCGTGGGCCAGCTCCCATTCCCGCCAACCTACACCTCTCTGTTTCCATGGACAGGGACACAGACCAAGTAAGTGTGCCTGCTCCAGAGATCCTAGCAGAGGCCTAGCTCCCAGGTGCCCACACTGACCACTGTTCCTTATTAGGCTCTGGTGACGCTGCTGCAAGGTGACCGTTTTCGTACCCTAGATTCTGTCATTGTTTATTGCAACCGGCGTGTAGACACCGAGAGGGTTGCTGCACTTCTCCGAACCTGCCTGTGTGCAACCCAGGGCCAAGAGCCTGGAGGTGAGGCACAGGCAGGGCTGGTGCCCCTACAGATCCACCTCAGGCATGCATGCCCCCATCTCAGTGACTACCCTGTCATCCCTAAAGGTCATGCCCCCAAAACCATAGCCGAAGCCTACCATGCAGGCATGTGCAGCCGGGAGAGACAGCGGGTGCAGCTGGCCTTCATGCAAGGCCAGTTACGGGTGGTGGTGGCCACGGTGGCCTTCGGGATGGGACTGAACCGATCAGATGTGCGGGCCGTGCTGCACCTGGGACTGCCTCCGAGCTTCGAGAGCTACGTGCAGGCTGTGGGCCGGGCTGGGCGTGATGGGCAGCCTGCCCACTGCCACCTCTTCCTGCAGCCCCAGGTTAGCACACCATCCCACTTTCTTCCCCCACTCATGCTCAAGCCCCCAGTGCTTCGCCCACCCTCACTACTGTCCCACTGCAGGGCGAGGACCTGCGGGAGCTGCGCAGACACATCCATGCCTGTGGCACTGACTTCCTCACTGTGAAGAAGCTGGTGCAGCGTGTGTTTCCACCCTGTACCTGTTCCCTGCCAGCCCTAGAGGAGGAGGGGGCTGTGGGCAGGGAGAGACCTGTGGCCAAGTCCTCCCCACAAGAAGCCAAGCAGCACAACAGCCACCAAGCAGCCTCAGTACCCAGAAGGGCCTGCCTGGGCCACGAACTTGCACTTCCAGTGCAACCAACAGTGCAGGCCTTGGACATGCCAGAGGAGGGTGAGGGACCTGGGGAAGGGTGTGGACACGTAGAGAGGCCATTCCTGCATCTCCTGAACCTGCTCTGCCCTCAGCTATCGAGACTCTGCTATGCTACTTGGAGCTGCACCCTCGGCACTGGCTGGAGCTACTAGCAACCACCTGTGCCCGTTGCCATCTGCACTGCCCTGGGGGCCTTGCCCAGCTTCAGACCCTGGCCCAGAGGTAAGCACACCCCACCCTGGGTTGGAGACAAGGACAGAGGACTAGGGCTGCTGGTCATATGTCCTCTTCTCCTCTGGGCATAGGTGTCCCCCTTTGGCTGTGTACTTGACCCGGAAACCACCTGAGGATATACAGCAGGGCAGCAGCTCCGTGGAGTTTGACATGGTCAAGCTGGGGGACTCCATGGGCTGGGAGCTGGCCTCTGTGAGGAAGGCTCTCTGCTGGCTGCAGTGGAACCAAGAGCCCAGAACAGGTGTGCCCATCCCCAACCCACCCTGGACCTTTGGACCTGCCTACCTAGGTCTGACATACTTTTTGGCAGGTGTGTCTCGGGTGCCAGGGGTACTTGTGGAGTTTGGCGAGCTGGCCTTCCACCTTCGCAGCCCCGGGGACCTAACCGCTAAGGAGAGGGACCAGATCTGCGACTTTTTGTATGGCCGCATACAGACTCGGGAGCGCCAGGCCCTAGCCCACCTATGCAGAACCTTCCAGACCTTTCACAGGTGGAGAGAAGGCGGGTAGGGCCTAGGATCTCCCAGCCTCCCCCAGTGGGCAGCTCTGATGGCTTTGTTTCCCCACACCCCAGTGTGGCCTTTCCTAGCTGTGGGCCCTGCCTGGAGCAGCCCAACGAGGAGCGCAGCACCAGGCTTAAGGCCCTGATCAGCGACTACTTTGAGGAAGAGGAAGCCCAGGAGCCAAGGGGCCTGGAAGATGAACAGGCCCCAGAGCCAGGGCAGGCCAGGGTGAGTACCAGCCCCTTCTGGGAGCCATTCCTGAGAGGCCATGGACCTGTGGTAAGGTGGGACAGCAACATGTACATACACCTGACTCCGGGTTTCCTGGGCTGCCAGGGATTTGCTGTGATGATATGATACCACAGACGCTCAGGGAAAGCCCCATGAGCCTGTTTGTCCACAGCTCCAGGATTGGGAAGACCAGATCCGCCGCGACATCCGCCAACTCCTGTCCCTGCGGCCAGAGGAGAAGTTCTCAGGCAGGGCCGTGGCCCGCATCTTCCACGGCATTGGTGAGGCCTAGGAGGCGCCACCTGATGCAGGCAGGTGTAAAGGCTGAAACCCTGGCGAGTCCTCATGGCCTATGTCTTCGCTCCACCATAGGAAGCCCCTGCTACCCAGCCCAGGTATTTGGGCAGGACCGGCGCTTCTGGAGAAAGTACCTGCACCTGAGCTTCCATGCCCTGATGCACCTGGCCACAGAGGAGCTCTTGCTGAGGGGCCACTGACTGCCCTGCATGGGCAGACACTGGCCTCATAGGAGACACAAGATGGGTGGGCAGAGGGTGTTAGAGACAAAGATGGGGTCATCAATGACCAGGGCAGGAACTAATGGCCCTGGGCAAAACCTGTCGGCAGGGGTGTGGAAACAAGGAAGTTCCAAAATGCAGAATAAAAAGTGTTCAAGTTGTTTTTTTAGGACCTTCTTTTCCGGTGAGGCAGCTCCCAAAGCTTGGGAACAAGCATATCACATATTCCAGATACAGAGACATCTGGACCAGAGGCACACTCAGCTTTATTGACCAGTCCAGCTGCCCAGCTCACAGTAGGGTGCTAGGTGCCAGGTCCAGGTACAAAAGGGGCAAGGCTGAGAGGGTGAGCAGGAAGGAGAAGCAGAGACGTGGCCCCAGACTGTCGGCCAGGGCTCCAGCCAGGACACCCAGCAGCAGCTTCCCCAGCAGCTCCAGAGTGGCCAGGAGGCTATAGTGTGTGGCCTGCACAGTTGAGGGGGTCAGGGTCAGGGCCTGCATGACACTCCAGGCCTGCAGTCCCTTTGTGTCCCTGTCATGCCTCCTCACCTGCAGGGCACTGGGTGCCAACTGGCTGCAGCGCATCATTCCAGTGAAGGTGACTGTGGTGACCAGGCCCCCCAGGAAGTGCTGCAGACACAGGCTCAGCAAGGCTGCCCCTGGGAGGGCAGGGGTCAGCAGAACCCAGGGCTGCTGGTCCCTCCCCATTTCCTCCCCAAGGCCAGCCCCTCACCTCTCAAGATTGTGCCAGGGCCCAAGCTGGCACCTGGGGTGTTCAGGTAGAAGAGCAGGGCAGTCTGGCAGGCCAACCCTCCAAAGCGGAACTGCAACACTGACTTTAACAGAGGCAGCAGCTGCCTGGGGTGGGGGTGGGGAGATTGGGCAGTTCAAAGCATTCAGGGCAGGTCAGGGGGAATTAGGTGGTGGGGCAGGCTGGGGAGGGCTCACCATTGCCTGGTCAACAGGGCCCCTCCAAGGAAGGAGCCAGCAATGGAGCAGGCCATGGCACCCACGCCATTCCACAGCCCCAGGTCCAGAGCAGAAGTACCATGGTCCAGCAGGAGGAGAGGAAACAGGCTGTTGGCACCCTGCTCACCTGGAGGGAGACCATGAGCAGGGAGGGTCTTATATCTGCCCCCGCCTCTCTTTCACCTGGGGCCTCAGTCCTGCTCTGCTCAGCTAGGCCCATGCCCTCCATCTGCCTGGGCCACAAGTGCTGAGAGGGAAATGAGACTAGGTGTTGGTCAAGCCCAGGCCAGCATGAAGCAATCCCAGAGAGACCCCAGGGCTGCGGCCAGAGCTGAGACAATGGAACTACAGCTGAGAAGAACAAAAGACAGAGCCCAGATGCAAAGTCCCCGATGTCAGGACCAAGCTGGACTCCAGCCTGCAGATCATACCCAAGAAAGAGGGCAGCCTGTGCTGGGTTGCAAGCCCCACCCTTGCAGTTGCCTGACTCAAGGCCTCACTCACCCAGCTTGTAGGTGAGCACAAAGCCTGCCGTCCACAGGGTTCCAGGCACAGTCAGCAAATCCTGCAGATGATGCAGGGTGTAGGGGGAGTGCCCTGAGGGCTGAGGCTGTGGCAGCCTTCGCAGGGCTGGTGCAGCCCAAGCCAAGGCTGCAGCCAGCCAGTAAGTGGCAGCCAGGAGCAGAAAGAGCAGTGGCCAAGAGAGGATGGGCAAGAGGGCCAGCAGCCCGCCCCCAGCCAGTGCCGACCCCAGCTTATAAGCGACCACCTGCACGGTGTTGCCAGGCCCCAGCTCTGCTGGCTCCAGCAGCTGCACAGCCAGCGTGTCCAGGGCCACATCCTGCACAGCTGCACCCAAGTTCAGCAACAGCAGCAGGCCCACCACGGTGCCAGGCAGTCCAGCCTGGCCAGCTTCAGCAGGTGGCAGTCCCGCCAGCAGCCCACACACCAGGCCCAGAGCGGCTGTGCTGCACATCAGCCAGGCCCTCGCCGAGCCGCGCGCATCCACCAGCGGGGCCCACACCAGCTTGAACAGCCACGGTGCATACAGCGCCTTGGTCAGTCCCACACGCGTAAGGGAGAGGCCGCGGGCCCGCAGCAGCACAGGCAGCAGGCCGGACTGGAGTCCATAGGGCAGGCCTTGAACCAGGTAAAGGCTGGCCAGCGGCAGCAGCTTCCCGCGCATGCCGGCGCTCGGTAGGGCGCGGGACCCAGTGTCTGGTGCCTCAGGCTGGCTTCAAGGCCCGGAGATCGAGTTCCAGGTGGGCTTTGACAAGTTGAGGTCCCATCAGCATGAGGTCAAAGGTCATACCCCGGCATGGCACTGGGGCTGGAGTCTGGACGCGCGCCCTCGGGACCTGGAAGTATCGGATACCTCAGAAGAACTGAACTGGGTAGCGAGCAGTCTGTCCTCCGAAGGGTGGGCTCTCAGAACACCAGGCGGTCCGGGGCTCCAACGTGCTCTGCGCGGCCGCAGGTGAAGGGCCCCGAGTGGAGCCTCCGCGGCGTGCTGGAGGTGGGGCCGGACCTTCCGGCAGGGGCGGAGCTTACTAGCGGGGCCTCCCTGACGCTTTCAGCCCGTGTCCTACACCGCCGCCCCCGGCCGGGCTCTCAGCAGCCTCTCGGTCCTCTGGAGCCACAG